TCTTTGATCAGGTGGGTGAGTTCACATACCGCCGCCCTACCGGCCGGAGGAGAAGACTGAAGAGGCGTCTGAACGTGGAAGCGGCGGAGGAGAGGCGGCGCCGCTGCTGCAAATTTGATCTGGTTGCTGATGAAGTGGTAGAGTACTTGGGTCTGCTTGCCTAAAACCTTTAAATGGGACCCAATCACATAAGTATTGTTGGTCTTTGGTGCCAAAAGTTTTTAACCGTCGAACACTTGAAGCTCAAGCTCCACATATAAACAATGCAACACCATTCCTAATTTCTTATTTTTAAAAAACAAAAAAACCATCAAGGGAATTCGTCTGGTTCATCTTTTTAAAGATCGAAAAGATTTACAAAGGCGTTTCACTACCATCATGTAATTCACCAGCGTTAAGAATCAAACTCACGACGTACCTTCCAATTTTTTCTTTTATGTTGCTAAAATTAAGTAAATATCTGGTATTTCTTTGAAATAGCACATAAAGTGCTTTTGGGATATGTGCTTCTTCTAAATAGCACTTAATCACTTTCACTAAAAGCGCTTTCAATCATTTTAAAAACTCTTACGAACTCTACTATATAGATAGAAAAACTTAAAAACACTTCTACCACGTCTTGGACTTCCAAGTACCATTCCAAAAAGCAATTGGATGTGGCTGAAGTTTTGAAACGTTAATAATAAAAGCGCTTATAGCAAAAACATTTCTCAGTAAAAGCTTTTTACTATTTTTTTTTCATTGATACCTCTCTCTATAAGCTATTCCAACACTGCATAACAACATCACCACACAACATCCTAAAATGGTATTCGACAAAGATTTACAGCACAACACAGTAACTTGAGAATTCAAATCTTACATATAGAAAGTTTCCAGGAAAAAAAAACCGACACAACGACCTGGAAATCCGGATTCCATCAGAGGAAGTAGCCCACCGTAGACGGCGGAAACAAGACCGATACCAATGCGAAATGCAAAATCAAAGGGAACCACATCACGGTAAGCATTTCGGAGAAACGCATACACATGAGGAAAAAAAGAGAACATTTTACGAACTAACTGAGCTGAGCATGTCATGTACTTTTGAGTCTTTGATACAATCCACCATTTGATCACTTCATGCTTTTCGATTCAGATCTACTACTTTGCTTTCTTAAGGAGAGCCGATGTAACAAACTCGGCATCATCCCTCACAAAACTCCACCAGAGATATGTAATAGGTATGTTGATTGCATTCCAGAGAGCGTGCGCGTCAATAAAGCCTCGGTAAGGTGGGAAGTCATATATCTCGAAGAGCAGGGCAAGGGCTTCTCCTGCCACTACCGCCCACAACTTCCAGCGCGATGGATGGCAACTAACACCAGCCCAAACTGCCCATGTAAGAAGCTGAATGATGCCCATGGCCATGCACACTTTCATGTTCAAACCTGCAAAACTTGTAAGCTCATTGCCACGGCAAATAGTTTTGTATTAAAAGCAACAAAAAGTTTGGCTCAAATTTGCAACAGAATGTCTTACCGTAATCAAGTTTATAGAAGTTCAGGTACAGTATGTGTGTGGTCACAAATGCAATCAGCGGAGCACAAACCATGACCCTTGCAGCCTCATCTCTCACATCAAAAGCTCGAATTAGGGTCACAATGAGGGAAAATCCAAGTAGTGCTACAGAAGAAGAATAATCTAGCTTCTCTGTCAACTCGACATCTCTACATTGGATAACAAAGCAGCAGTTAAAAACTGTCTGAAAACAATTAATGTTTTCATATCAAAATCGTGTTCCCTCACACCAGGCACAATCAACGCGCAAAAGTTTTGTATTCATTACAAGGTCAGTTCCACAAGCTATAGCATGGTCTTGCTGTCGAAATTTAGCAGAGAAAAATTCTGGCCGATGGAATACCCTAATTCCATATGCACAACACTACACCAAATCTTGTCCTGCTGTTATAAATTGCGACCATTAATTTGTTTAAATCTATAGGTTGCGAGGTCTAAGAAGTGCAAAGTACTAAAATATTTATCTTTCGCCTAAGTTGACATTTTGGAGCAGATCACGGTTGTATGTATAAATCATTACGGTGTCAAAGGAATTTAAAACCACTTACCGGCTGTGAAATACACCACTCCAAAACCAAGCATTCATTGCCAAGATCCCATAGATGTGCCACATACCAGTATATTCATAGTACGTCTTCTTATTTGGATTCGATGGCAACTTGTAGTATATAAGGATGAAAAAAGATATCCAGCCATGAAATTGAATGGCAAGATTGATAGCGGAGAGAGCAACAGCAACCGGTTCCTAAACAAGTTCGTTAAATGGTTAGGCCATATCAGCAAGTAAATTAACTTATTTAGATTAGTAATCAACTAATTTGCTCTACTAAGTATCAGTGGAAGACCTGGATGCCATAAACACGCTGAAATGGCCATTTCCCATGGTATTTGACAGGTTTATGGCCGAGTTTCTCTCTCTCTTCCTCCCTTGCAAACATGCAGTGGTACCTGCAGTCACTGCGGCAGTCCCATTGTTTCCAGCGCAAATAGAGGGGCTCTTGCATGTACCACGGACCATCAATAGGTTTCCCATCCGATGAAAATTTACAGTGTTGAAAGCATGTGTCCCCTACACAACCAGATTTTTCGCACTCCGCCACACAAGACCTGGAAAACCCATAAAAATCATAATGGTTATCACCCAACAGCCACGAAACAAGCAACATATAGATGAATACAATACAAGAGAACACCTAATGAACTTCCGTGAATGTAAATTTTGTACTTGTGAAATCACATCAATCAATTAGCATAACCAATATAGGGCTCGTTTGGAAGTGCTTTTAAAATGATTGAAAGCGCTTTTGGTCAAATTGAAATTGGGTTCCAAAAGCACTTTAATTGCATTTTGGGAGAAGCACCAGATACGTGCTTCTTGCATAAAAGCTCTTTTCTAGGATCCATTTGAACTTTTACTAAGGATTTGATTTCAAAGACATTCTCACCAAAAGCGTTTCAATCATTTTAAAACTACTTCCAAACTCGTTCGCCTAAAGCTCCTAAATAAAGAACTTTCATCATTATCTGCATTAATGCTAGTTAATTACAAAAGATTTCAATTTTAATTTTCCCTAGCATTAAATGATTGTACAATTTTCATAATTATCTTCACAATCTAAATCCATCAAGTAATAAAAACATCACACTAATCGTTGATTCGTTGTACGGAATACACGAAACTTAGTCCAGATTTCCGAGTTTTCAACCCCGAAAAAAAAGAAAACTATATCAAATTTCTAATCAATTTGGCTATACAAACAACTAAACCAAGCTCATCAATCAAACAGTGAGAGCATTCAACTAAACTAAAATACTTCAAATAAACAACTCAATGAGCTCGAATATTATAAATAAACCAAACCAAATCAAATACTGATACGAACTCGGAAAAACTGAAAGAAAACGAAAGCGAAATTCCAAGTCCTTTCAGAAATCAAGCAAAAATCACAGAAAGGAAGGCATACTTGTAAATCGGATCAGCATCGCCATCACTGGCGCGAAGAGCAGGAAGCAGAGAGGAGAGGAAAGCGAGGAGAAGAATGCAACGAAGCTGCGCCATCGGACTCTCGGAAGCAGAAAGTCAACAGCGGAAGAATCTTCTGGAGGTTTCTAGAGCTGGCGAGGAATGTTCGTGTGGAGATGCGACTGGCTGCGTCCCATGGAACCGCGAACTGGTTAGAGAGAGAGAGAGACGGCGGAGGAGGAGGATAAGGAGAGGGAGGTGGCGGAGGAGGAGCTGAGTGGAGGAGCGAGAGAGGAGGAGTTGAGGTGATTTGGGTGGTGAATCCAGGCGATGGGGCGGAGACCAGAATCTCGTGAGGGGCCTCGTCTCGACTCTTGGCGATACTCGAGGAGACACGTGGGCGGGAAATGGACGTGCTGATGCTCTCTCTCTCTCTCTCTCTCTCTCAATTTTTTATTGTTTCCTTTTTCGAATCCCTGTTTTGCCCGTGACGCAGTCAAACAATGACGACTTTAATGGTAAAAACTTGGTCATCTTCATTCTCCATAGGTAAACTAATCAATTTATAGGTGAAAATTTGATCATCTTCATAAATTATAGGTCAAATTAATCAATTTATAGGTGAAAATTTGGTTAAAAAATATACAAGTCAAGGGTTTTTAGCATTAATAATTTTTTTGAAATGTCACGTGAACTTAGTTCTGGATATTTGACCTCCTTTCTACTAGGAGGTGGACGAATCAATTGATTTCTGACATTTGATTTTTTTTTTTTCAGAAGTTCTCTATTTTTTTTTTTTTTTGGTACACACTCTAAAACATTGACTGTTAGAAAAACATGTCGTGTTTGATTCAAAAACTTATGTTAAACTACTAAAAAAGTATATTAGGCTCCCTAACATGGAATTTAACTAGTTGCAAGCTTTAAGAATTCAATGCACTCCATCCCGTTCTTAAATAAAAAAAAAGTGAATTATCCAAAATAGTCTTGAAGAGGTGTGGGAGTTAAAAGTTCCGAAATAACTTCAAAATATTTTAGATGGAAAACTTGGGGCGAAATGACGAATTAATGATTTTGAAAAATTGATATGACAAACAAACCCCTTAAGATTTTAGTTTATATGAAAACTACAATTAAAAGTTGAACATATTCAATTCCAATCCTGACCATCGTTGCAAATGAATCTGGAAATGTCAAAGCCTTTCCTTTTTGCGGCATTAGAATTTGCAAATCAAGCACAATCCCAGTTTAATTAGGTTTTCATTTATTGGAGTTCTTTGCCGCAGGCCACCAGTAGTGCATTGGATGCACGTTGGTGGTTGCTCACCGATTAAGCACAGTACGTTCAAAATGCGCATCAAATTGCTTTGTGCTCCGATGGAAGGATAGCTGAACTCGAACCCAAGACATCTCCGATCGTTGAAAACAAGCGAGCAATGGCGGAGCACACGAGTGAGTTCTACACTACTATATAGCATATGGAGAAAATGAACGTAAATTGTTAAACAGTCGAATTCAGCTGCATATGAACATAAATCTGGCTCTACATATTTTTGCTTTCGTTCGACAATGACTTTGATTACGCGAAAGAGTACTACATTGCGGTGGGGGCGATGACCGTCTCTCGTGAAACCACTAAGAGCTAGAGAAGGAAATAATAGCGTTCAAGTCGGCCAGGCATTCCGTGGGAAGGCCAAGGAAGGAGTTGATCAGAAAATCATCGATAGGATCAACGGTTGCCACCCCAACAAGTCTGCACTTTCCTTGTTTATCCAACCTCTCCCCTCTTCCACTTCTCATCGTTCCTTTCGATTCCTCTGATGTCAATACCGTCCTCACCAGCAGCGGAGGAGCCTTGTATATACTCCCAACGGAAAACCAAAACTCCGCCTTGAATTCGAGATCAACCTGCAAAATAAAGTAGCAAACAGTGGTTATGAAACCAGTTAGTAAGTTAATGCGACAATAAGAATTACTTTTGTCGAAGCATTTTACCTGGCCGGAGTCTGGATTGATGCTCCCACTGAAGAACTCAGGGACAATGTCAATCGTCAAAAAGGGCGGCAGTGGCAACCCCAAGAACTTTGTTGTTGCACTCTCCAATGGCGGGATATAGAGCCTTCCGATGTCAAACGACACCAAAACATCGCCATTCGAGTTGCTTTCCGTGACCTCTGTGGCAGACCCGGTTCCCGCTCCACCTTTAGCATTGTATTCAAAGTCAGGATACCTGGCTATGCCAAGCTTGCAGGCACTCAAAGTCTTGAAGTTTACGGTATAAGGTTTCGATTTTCGATCTTCGGTTTGAGAGCAAGAAGGGGAGGAGAAGGAGATGATGGTTTTGGTTCTGGGATTTTGGTTTTGAGTTGGGAATTTCCAGAGAGCTGGAAGGTTGGAGGTGTTTATCCTGCAGCACCCCATTTTTGGCGGGTACCTTTCTTCTGTGTTTCTTTCCTTTTTCCTTTTTCTTTTTTTAATTTCCCACTGCAAAATTTGAGGCTGGTGTTGATTATAAAAACCTTATCTTTTTATGTTGGAAGATTTAAATTCTATGTGGTGACTGGTTGTGCAATTGAGACGTGTACATAGACAAGTCTAAGCAGAGAAATGTGTTTGTGGTCCCCACCATAACCAATCGCTGCCACAAATTTGCAAATAACTACTAGATGCGAGTTAGATTGATTGATAGTGATGTGTTTATCCGTGAATTTTTTTTGTGTCCGTCAACCAGATTAGGTGAACTCTTCGACCAACTTATGGAGGCGTGGAACCCTTGCATTGAGGTTTGTATTTTGTACCTACATTCAAAAATCTCAAGAAAAAATATCATCTTAATTTTTAAAACTTCACAGTAACACGAAGGTGAAAGTAAATAAATTAAACGATGATTCATGTACGAATTTGCAGAACTGACTGAAAACCGTGAGTGTTAATCCACCTTTTCAAAAAAATAAAAAATAATGCAAATTTTTTATTTTCTCGAAATATATTTCGTGAGCATTAAAGAAATCTTTATAAGGTATTTAGAAGCAGATTTACAATTTATTGAGCAATAAATGTATATTTAATAGAATATTTAAGCCGATAAGTAAAAAAAATGTCAAGATGTTAAAATGTACATCTAGTGTGATATATATATATATTTAAAAAAATTAGAGATGCTAAAATCATCTGTTTGTGAGGCTTAAACAAAAAATAGCGAAATTTTGTTTTGTTAAATAGATTTTCACCTTATATTTAGATAAAAGAAAAATTAACAAAAATAAAAGTTAAAATATCTTTCAATTTAGGTTTTAAATCGTTGATTACAAGTGTTTAAATATGAATCATAATATATTTTGTTTTAAAATTAAAGATGTTAAAATTGCATGTAAGTGAGGCTTAAACAAAAAATAGTAAAATTTTGTTTTGAATAGTCTTTCACCCTCTTTTGATTGACAAATAGGGTTCTATTAATATGTAGTTTTGATTTAAATAAAAAAAAACAAAGTTCAAATATCTTTAAATTTCAGTTGTATCTATAACAAAGATGTCTATCTATGGAAGGCTTGTCGTTGACTGGCTCACTTGAAAAGAGTATTTACTCATGCACTAGAGATCTCGTGTCCGGCCCGCTCAATATTGTATCACCGTGAAACTGATAAGGTGGATTAAAAAAAAAGGGCAGAAAGATAAATCACAAGACTTGGAAAGCACTTCTGTGAACAATGACTTTATACGAAAGGGCAGAAGCTCATTAGGCATACATCACATAGCACTCTTCTTAAGCTACCAACATGAAAAATGGCACTAAACATCACGAATTAGCCGAGTGGAAACACAGACATGGAAACAGACATGAACGATATATTACATTAGCTTACAGAAGCCTGTCAGTTTCCGGACGTCGTAGCAAAACTTCATCGGAACACTCCACCTCCATCTATTGCCTTTCCTACCTACCCGTAAAAGCAGAAATTCACTCTCCCTTATCATGAAGACATCTCTCATCATACGACCAGCTACTTGAAGTTGAAACTAAAGAGAAAAGTGGCACTAAACATTAGGAATAAGCCAAACGGTAACATATGTGCTTGCTACAATGCACGAGCTGAAGGACTTTAGACTTCATATGAGCATCAGGGCCCTCCGCCTTATCTTTTACTGCTTCAGGTCCAGACGGTTAACAGACAAGAGAAGATCTCAGAGATGTAGGATAATGTGTGCATGATGACCAACGAATGATTGATTCGGTCACCATGAAATCTATTTGCTCGTGCTCACCAAGTCCAATAGTACGGTTCCTCTTGCTGTGAATGGCTGATGTCCTAGATCCAGTTGTTCCGCCTGTCCTTATAGCTTCGGCTGGTTTGTTAACCAATTGTCTCGTTTCAAGTCCGAATGAAAGAGAATCTGGCAATAATAGCAGCTTCCCTGAGATTGTCTCTGCATTATAATACATTAAAATGATTGAGACGAGATTTCTATGATACTGATGCAGGGAGAAGCGAAATGTAACTCAAAATACCTCCATGAATTGTGTCTACTCTGGATATGCTGGCTGAGAACTCTATTGCACAACTACCTTCCTCGACCAAAGAACTAGGGCTGAAGAATGAAAAGCTTGGCATGGAGGGAATAGGGGAGGAGAATTCCAAACCATTAGAATCACCATCACCACAGAATGAAAACCCGCCGGATGCTAATTGGGGAGTAAATGGTTCCACCATGAAAGCAGAAAAAGATGACCTACAAGTAAATGTAGGTGATTGGGCATCACATACACTAGCTGATGCAGAGCCAAAGCTGATGTCTTGACTCCTGGACATACAGAATGAGCTGCCGGCTACATCACATTCTCCACGGCCTCCATTTTCACATTGACTCGGTAGTTTAGGATATGGTTCATTAACCCTCATCCAAGGATGATCTACAGGGGAAAGTTCACAACAAACACATATTAGTCAAGCACACCAAGAAACTTCTTTCATTCGCCACTCACAAACACTTCATAACAAATCATTCATGGACTATTAACTGTTACAGCATTTCAATAAACTCTTGGTGAATGTGTGTGTTTTCGTGCGTGCATTTGACCTACCTAAAACTTGCTGAGCCGTGAGCCTTTGTGAAGGATCTTTACAGAGCATTGCTCTAATCAAATCCTTAGCTGATCCAGTAATTCGATCCCAGGGATCAGATGGGAATCTCAGGTCAGCTGTCCTAACAGCATCAAATATCCGTGACTTTGTCTTCCCCCAAAATGGCGGCATTCCACTAAGAAGAATATAGAAAACAACACCCGCACTCCAGACATCTGCAGCCTGGTTATAGCTACCTGCAAGTACCTCAGGAGCTATATAAAACGGACTCCCAACTAACCCATGCAAACTCTGCCCTGCTTCGACAAAAAACATTGTCAAAAATCTGAACTCAAAGTTTTAGCAGAAAAAAATTAGCCAGCCAATATAAGGGAAATATGGAATTACCAGGCTTGATGTAGGTTGCAAGACCAAAATCTGCCAACTTGATTGGAGACGAGGAGGCTTTTGTGGCCAATAGGATGTTCTCTGGCTTCAAATCTCTGTGAACAACCCCATTTTCGTGACAATATAGAACTACCCGAATCAGATGCCTAAAGAGAACCCTGGCATCAGACTCAGGGAATCGTCCGTGCTTCTCCAGCTGGTGGAAAAGCTCCCCTCCTGCACAAAGCTCCATCACCAAATGAACATACTCTTCCTCTTCATACACCGCCTTAAGATCTACAACATTTGGGTGCCCAGATAACCTGGTCATAATTTCAATCTCAAGTTTAATGCCTCGCACATCGTCTGAGGTCACTAATCGATCTTTAGCAATTGACTTACATGCCAAGACCTCTCCAGTCAACTTATCGGTGCACACCCTAATAACACCAAACTGCCCCCAACCTAATTGCTCTCCTAGAATGTACCGATCCTTTAGATTTGAGGTCTCGTCTGCATCTAAGATGGAGGAAGTCAAGCTAGCGACTTTGTAGCAATTGCACAGCCCTGTTGACGCTCCACTGTTGCTGTTCCTCTTGGCAACAGCCATACCAATATCCCGCTCCTCAACCACCCAGAACACTAATCACAATTTCGGCCCACAAATCTCAATTTTCCGGCTTTCGTGCAGAATATTTCAAAATCCTTTTCCAACAGATGAGAAACCTGAAGTTTGAAGTCAATATCTTGAATTCTCAGTCAAATCAGAAGAGAAGCTTCCTGGGATAGTAAACAAAGTTCTCAATAAGGCTTCTAGAACACTTGAACCTTAACAACAACAAAAGTTCAAGCTTTCAGCAGGGAATTCCTTTTCGACATGACCGGATCACGTGGATCCGGATAGAAATCAAGCTGTACCAATTACCAAAATTCAGTCTCAAGCATTAAATTCAAAACCAAAAAGCAATCACAAACGATACCCATTGGAGCAAATTCCATTTACAGCAGGAAAAAAAAAAAATAAATCTCCTTGCTTTCTATTAACAGGTTGCTTCTTTTCGGACTTTTTGACCTCCAGAATCAAGCACAAAACAGAATTCAAGTTCAATTCAGACACAAATCTCCCACTTTTCACAAACCACCCAAAAATAGAAACAAAGGAAATTTTTTTACGTATAGATCAATCTAGAATCTCCAATAACAAGCTCTAATCATCTGAAAACAAAATCCCAAAAACACCCAAATTCCATCAACCTAAAAAGTTCCCAACTTTACTAAAAACAACAAAATTCAAACGCAACCCATCAAATTCCAGTTGAAAACAAAACAACCCCGATCCAATTTTCCAAGTACTTCCAGAAAAAAGCACTTACATACGAAACCCAGAACCCCAAATCCACACACACTCAAACATATACATTTAGAGAGAGAGATTGTGAGAGAGGGAAAGGTACCTGCTTGAAGAGAGATAAAGCGCAGAGAAAGGAAAGGAGGCCGTTGGAGCAGTGGTGGAGCTCCGCAAGACAGAACTCTCTTCTGTCCTGTGGCTCGCTCTCTCTCTCTCTCTCCCCCTCCTTGGATTTTGGCTTTGGATTCCTCCGAGGCTGCTTTAAATTTGCGATGTTTGGCTCCTCCCTGATTCAACTCTCTCTCTCTCTCTCTCCCTCCTTGGAATTGGACTTTGGCTTTTTTTTTCTTTTTTTTTTTATTCATATTTTTTTCAAATACGGATCTATCTTTCTGTACTCGCTGGGTTGGTTGTAATACGACGTACTCGCCTATTCTTAACTACTTTCCTTTTCCATTCATTCAGCCAGATAGGAAAGTAACTAACTTTCCTTTTCAGGAAACTTTTGACAATTTTGAATCCAACATGAACACATGAGGAAGTTAATAGTCATCAAAGAGAGTTTATTTAATAAATCACTCTGAAATAAGGACTTTCATGTAAATTATATTGGGATTAGTCCAAGTGCTTAATAAGGAATTGAGATCCTATTTGGATCTTTGTGTTCGGAGCTAGTGGGTTCAGAGATCTAAGTCACTCATTCAAAATACCACGACCCTTGTTTGTCTATTTCATTGGCCCATTTCATACAAACTAAGGATTCGGATGTCTCTCTTCAACCTTGAAGAACCCTGACTTTTCATTCCGTTTGTTTCGGACTTGGAGATACGGAAAGGATCTTGGTTCCTTAACTAGGGATGTGTTGAGTTGGAGGTATAGTTTATGCTAGCCAGCCTTGTAATGATGTTATAAGTCAACTCCGTCTCCAATTTTAGAGTTCAATTACGATGAATCTATATTTTGACTGAACTCTAATCATAGAAATCATTCTTAGAATTTCAACATACCCTTTTTCTCATTTTGATCAACGGTCTAACAATGTTGTTATTGATCTTGATCTCATTTCATAGTATTGTCGTTAGCATAAATTCAAAGGTTTTCTTAAGTGATGGAGAGGAGTATTGCTCTTACACAATGGCGTGGATTTAAACCCCATTGGCCCCTAATCTAACATCTAATCTAACAAATTTATCGTTTGATAGAAAAAAAAATAGTTGTTTCATAAATATGTGGCTTTTTAGCTAAAATTATTCCTAAGATTTTCATAACTCCTCACTTTGGTCACTGAAATTTAAAATCAATAAAAATGGTACCTAAGTTTATTCACCATCAAACATGTAATTTGGTTATTCCATGAAAAATTCTGTTAAATAAGGATCAAAATGATAAAAATACCCTCTATTTAATAAACAACATGCCAAAATGATTTGACAAAAAAATTGATGGTATTTTTGTCAATTTATCCTTATTCAATGGAGATTTTTCACGGAATGATCAAAACAATTGATGGTTGGCAAACTTAGGTACCATTTCTATCGATTTTAAATCTCAGATATCAAAATGAAGAGTTAAGCCAATCTCAATTACTATTTTAGCTAAAAAGTGTATTGTTAATTACATATGAAGGAGAATTAAACAGTTGTAAATAATAACAAAGATTTTCTTAGAACTAGAAACAAGAATGCTCTTAGATATGCTGCAAAGTTTGGATTTTCACGAATGCCTGCTTAAATATGCTGAAAGCGTATTAGAAAAATCCAAGGTAATATTTTTTTTAAGGAAAACTAATGAAAAAGGCTTGAAAACTTTGAGTTTTAACGATAAAACTTCTTGAGTGATATCGCAGTAATCTGGTGAGTGATATCGAGAGAATTTGTTAAGTATGCTCGATGTAACTTGCTGAATGTTGTTGGAATATGCCTAGTGGACATTACATCAAACACTTGGAAGAAACACAAAATGCCTATACCAAACATTCGAAAGATTCTAAGAATGTATATTTTGCGAATTCCAAACGATACTAGGACCACCTTAGTCTCAATGTACATCGGTCATTGGCTATCGAAGAAATATATATTGTTTTTATTTATCTTCTAGAAACTGAAAAAACGACAACTTGTTAAATTCTATAGAATTGACAGATGATCGATGATGTACGTAGTATTTTCCATATCCTCTCAGCTCCCGGCCTGCCGCATGCAGAAGAAAGTTGTTCAGTATTCGTTCTTAATCTGGAAAATCCCAAATGACAAGAAACTAGGATACTTCCTAAACTTGGGCCTTGGTAGCTGAGACGTGTATGCATGCAGTCAACTAAAATGTTCATGATCTAAAATATTGCATGCGATTGGCTCGATATCTGCCTGTTGCAGACATCAGTTTGCAGCGGCGGCGCGATGAAATCGAAAGCTTCCTTATCCACTCGGCTTTCCGTTCCTTTTGTTTGTTTACTAGAAAGGGTAAACTGAGGAAGGTCGATTAATTCTTCTAGGGAAGAAGTGGAGGAGAGATGAGATTTATAAACGAGCTTGAGTATTGTGATAAGCGTTGTTAACTACCTTAACTATAAATATGTTAAAAACTTGTAGAATGAAACATTATTTCAAAACAAGTGGTTTACTACGCTATCTTGAATTATTAAATTTTCCTTGTTATTTATGTGCAATTGTACGTCGTGAATTAGTCTTGTAAATAAAATAAAGTCTAACCTAAAAATTATTTACTCAAATATTTACTGTACTAAGAACAGGTGTTGAGCCTTGGGTTTTAACAAATGTGGTGGAAACATGTAGAATAGTATCGCCTTGAGCACTTTTATGAAACCCTAGTGTATAAAGTTAAGTGTTCATAAACTATGTAAATCATCTTCAAATTATAGAGGTTTAAGTGTTTTTTTATTTTTTAAATAGTTTGACAAACATTCAAATTCATGATTAAATTATTACTTAAGTGTTGATTAATTGCTTATTTTCTATTGGTGACACATTATATAGTTTACAAATTCAGTCTAAAAAGTTGGTCTACGTAACATTACTTCGAAAACAATGAAGACTGTGCGCTCTATTCGTCCAACTAGTATGATATGTTCAGAGAGCACTATGATATATGATATTTCTTTTCACTTATAAATGAGATGACTCAAATTGAACTCTCATTATCAACGAGCTGGTGGCCCAGTGGTAAGGGACGAATTACGAGACTTTCTTAAAGCTAAAAACTAAAGGTCTCAGGTTCGAAACCTGCTGTTGGTGTGGAAGCCAGACTTGTGGCCAGGGGGAGGCTAAAATGCCTATGTTTATTTTTCTGGCCCCCAGAAATAGTGGATAACCGTGACTTGCCACCAGTTGTCTCATTTTATTAAAAAAAAAAGGGACTCTCATTGATAATGAGTTCAATACTTATGTGTAATTAATCTAATATGTAGTTTAAACCAAATCCGCAATCATGATCGAACCTTCAATAGTTTTTTGGACAAACAATAAGATAATTTATAGTTGAGAAATGCGTAATTGGATTATTGGTCTTCGTGGTGATACGGTAGTCAGAAGATAACCCTTGTTGTGAAGTCTGTTAGGATTTAGGCTCAAAATTGAATTATGATAACCCTCTGTTAATTATTGGCACGTAAGCCACACATATAAAACTAAAAAAGAAAGGAAAGCTAACGAAAAGTACTAAAAAACTTTAGTTTTAATGAAAAATGACAAATAAAGGTACACATGAATAGTATTAGGAAAGGTAAAAATGTCATTTTTCTTTAAAAGTGAATAGTATCGGGAATATTTCGTTACAACTCCCAAAAAGGAACTCTCCATTAATTTTTAGCACATGAGACTAACTTTATCTTTTAGACTCACATGTGAGTCTTATGTGCTAACAATTAATGGAGAGTTAACAAAATTTTCAATTTTGGATCTAAATCCTAACAGATTTCATCTTAGGCATTTAAATTCTAATTTTATTATATGAGCTATTTTCCGACTACCATATCACCACAAGACTATTAATCCAATTAAACCTTGAGAAATGCTAAAGAGGCTCTCTCAAAATAAGACTATTTATCACCTTATATTTTAATGTTAATTTACGTAATTTTAAAATATTGTACAAAAAACATGAGATGAAGAAAGACTCTCGTGCTGTGCCTTACCATCAGAACCAGGGCATGTTAATTTACGTAATTTTAAAATATTATGTAAAAAAATATGAGATGACGAAAGACTCTCGAGCCGTGCCTTCCCATCAGAACCAGGGCATGTTAATTTACGTAATTTTAAAATATTATGCAACAAAATATGAGATGACGAAAAACTCTCGAGCCGTGCCTTCCCATCAGAACCAGGGCATTTCAGTAATTCAATTTCCTCGTAGACACGACGCAATTCCAGTTTTGTCCATCGTCTCCATCCCCCTACCGCGCGAGCGAGCGAGACTGAGAGAGAGAGAGAGAGAGAGAGAGAGAGAGAGAGAGAGAGAGGGAGGGAGGGAGAGAGAGTGTGTGTGTGTGTCTCACAAATCAAACTCTGCTCCCCGAAATTAAATTAGGGTTTTTCCCAAATTTAAATCCCCCCAAATCCCCCACCCTCGAGAGAGAGAGAGAGAGAGAAATTCCGAGCTTCCGAATCTCTCCAACTCCATGATCGGATTCCAATCAGCCAATCCATCCAATCAATTTTGAAAAAAACCAAGAAAAAGGGGGGAAAATCGAAGCTTTTGAGTTTCAGTTCAAGGTATATAGCCACAGAGAGATTCGAATCCGTAGCTGATGGATGTAGACGGAGGGGGAAGCAAACGGGTCTTCCACAGACTGGGTGGGCAGCAATCCGACCCGTCAAAGAACCAGAAGGTATGCTACCATTGGAGGGCGGGCAAGTGCAATCGCCACCCCTGCCCCTTTCTCCACAGAGAGCTCCCGACGCCGCCGCAGCAAGGTCTCAATGGGACGGCCTCGACTAAGCGCCATCACGCCTTCGCCGCTAACACCGATGGTCCATCGTCCCGGAATCGGGGTCCAAATAACTTCAATGGCGGGACTTCTTCGACTTGGGGCCGTACAGGAGGAGCGAATAGGGTGTTTGTTAGGAAGATGGAGAAAGTCTGTAATTTTTGGGTCCAGGGGAATTGCAGCTATGGGGACAAGTGTAAGTTCTTGCATTCTTGGAGTATGGGGGATAGCTTCAGCTTGTTGACGCAGCTTGAGGGGCATCAGAAGGTATTTTTTTGGATTATATATGCGGGTTCTCATTGTTTCTATTGGGTTACTTTGTGTGCTTTTGGGAACTGATGGGGGTTTTTGGGAACAGGTTGTTAGTGGGATTGCACTGCCTTCTGGGTCTGATAAGCTGTATACTGGGAGTAAGGATCAAACTGTAAGGGTTTGGGATTGCGCATCTGGTCAGGTAGTTATTCACTTTTGGGACTCCAATTTTCAATTATATAACAATATTCAAAGCAAAGTTTCTGAGGATTTACAGTTAAATAGATAAGTTTCAATACTTCTTCCCCTTTTCTGTGACGGGTGAAAGTTTAATGTTTGAATAGATGGGTAAAGGACTCCTGTAGCGTATCTCGTTTCTGTTCTTTGGATTAGGTTTAGTTTAGTACATTTGGTAGACATTGTAGTTCCTACCCATTGTTGTTTATAAGGTCGTTGTGTAATAGGAATGTTAGAGTTGTATGCCAGCTAAGGACTCTGTAAAGAAAGCTCTTAGTGATCACAGTCAGTAGAAGCCTTATACAATGAGTGCAAGTTGTATGTACAAAGTAGTTTCCATACCACATCACTGAATGCAGCTGTCGCTCAAATTATAGTTTAATTGATGGTGATCACATCAGCGAGCAGAGTGTGCAAACTCATGAATGGCCATGACGAAAAATGTGGAAGGGAAACACGGCATGTTCTGGAGGATGCATAGAAGAGAGCTCCTGACATTGTGGACTGAAAAGCTTTTTAGAGATTTGCTCCCATTTCTCAATATCTATTGACTTTTTAGTTTTCCTAAATCACATGGTCATTGCCACTGGGTTTACTCTAGATGGTTGGACAATATTTTTTCACATGTCTCATTGCCATTCCAAAGGGCTGTGAAAATAATTCGTGTGCTTCTATTTGGTTATTTTGCAGTGCATGGGAGTTATTAATCTTGGCGGTGAAGTAGGTTGTATGATCAGTGAAGGTCCTTGGATATTTGTTGGCATACCAGAAGCTGTAAAGGTAGGGCAGGAGGATTCTCTTTTAATGTAAGCTTATAGGATCAGACTCTAAGGATACTTTGTCTCATTTGTGTATGGATATGTTTTGTAGGCCTGGAACACCCAAACTAACTCGGAACTGAGTCTTAGTGGGCCTGTCGGACAAGTTTATGCCATGGTTGTGGGTAATGATTTGCTCTTTGCCGGTACACAGGTAATTCCTTTACTGCCATAATGGCTTAATTTATGTTTGGTCCCCATTCTTGGTCAAAATATTTCTTGTTAGGGCTTTCAGCCATGAGGTATTTCACTGTTTACAACTATATTATGTGAACCACCCAATTGAAAAATGTATTATTGAAGGAGCAAACTTTGTTTTTTTCTTTTTTAGTTCATATCTTTTTCATGTGAGTTGCATCTAATTTAGCGAAGGCCCTTGCATCTGCTTTTTCCCTCTCTGTTTTCCTTTGTGCATTCATGTGTGGGATCTACATATTTTCTAATATTTGGCAAAATTGTCCTTCAATGCAGGATGGTTCTATATTGGCATGGAAGTTTAATGCTGTGACTAATTGCTTCGAACCAGCTGCATCACTGATAGGTCACACCCTTGCAGTTGTTTCATTAGTAGTTGGAGCAAATAGGCTCTACTCTGGTTCAATGGATAATTCTATAAAGGTAAGTCGGGTTCAGTATCACATGTTTTCTGTAATAAGCATAAACTCTTGCTGATGGAACATTTGAGGCCTTAAATTGCTCCACACCAGTAGCTCAGTCATGTCTTTGGTATTCTTTTTAGGTCTGGAGCCTGGAAACTTTGCAGTGTATACAAACGCTAACAGAGCATACTGCAGTTGTCATGTCTGTTCTTTGCTGGGATCAGTTTCTCTTATCATGTTCCTTGGATCAACAATTAAAGGTGTGTTTTCTATGATTTATAACTTTTTTTTGTGGGTGTGTAACTGTGTGTTGCAGTAGACCCGTAAACTTATTTAATTGTTCCACTTCATTTGTTTGTGCAGGTCTGGGTTGCTACTCAAAGTGGAAACTTGGAAGCAACATATACTCACACAGAAGAAAATGTAAGTTTATGTTTCAATATTTTTCATTCTTCAGTTAATCCCTGTTCCTGCGTTGACTAAGAATAAGCTAGGTATGTTATAGGATTTTTTAGCCCTATGTTTGGATGAGGGACGTAATAGTACCCAGGAAGTTCAGACTCAATTGTTAAAAATGCACTACAAGGGTACTAACAATGAACTACTCAAGCACTACAAAGCTACTACTAAAAGTCGAAAACACTACAAATACAGTAACCAAAGGACCTTCAAAATGACATCATGACAGGTGTCATTTGAAAGTCTTCTCAATTGTGTTGCATCAAGTTCATCTATCTAATTTTGTGGTACATTCCTAACAAATTTAGCCATGGATCCATGGAAACTCAAAGTTCCTCATCCAAACATACGGTATAGGAACATTCAAGGCTGACACTCTGGCCGTACATTTAGAGTATCTAATGCAAGTTCTATTTGCTTAAAACTAGGTTTGGGTAGAATTATAGAACCACCTTTGTATGCATGCTACGCATTTATTTTGTGTTTAAATTCCATAACCATCATTGTATTTCACATAATAAATGAATCAGTATGCTTGATGTTCACCTAGCAGTGGGTTTAATGTTGAGTTTCGTGGACCTGTTATCATTAGAGGTTATGTATGATTTTCAAGGTGACATGAAAGGTCAAGTTTAATAATGCTTAGGAGCTTGCTGCAGGGTTTGATTACACTTTGTGGGATGCATGATTCAGAAGCCAAGCCAGTCTTACTGTGCGCTTGCAATGACAACACTGTCCGTGTATATGATTTGCCATCGTGAGTTTTCAACACAATCTCTCTGCTGTAGTCCTTTTATCCGTTAGGTCTAGAAAACATTTTTCAAGCATCTCACTTTGCCGCAATTGTCTTCTTTGCTATGGTCTAGGTTTTCGGAGAGGGGTAAAATTTTTTCAAAACAGGAGATAAGATCGATTCAGGTAGGCCCTGGTGGCTTGTTTTTCACGGGTGATGGAACCGGTCAAGTGAAAGTATGGAAATGGACTGAACCAGCTGCGGTCACTGCCTGAGAAAAGGGAGATTATTTATATTGGCCACATTGTATCTGTAGTTTTTTCATTTTTCTTTTCTGGGTTCTTTCGTAAGTGTTAGCTCTGAGGAATGAATTACGGGTTTTCTATTTTCGGGTTGGAATGGATTGAGTTCTCTTTTTTTGGAGGATTTATGGAGCTAGGAATTAGTAGCATTAGCACTGTCCGCAGTCCGCTCCTTTGGGTGCCATGAATGTGAAGAAGCTTCTTGGCTCATTCGAAGTTTTGACTGCAGGACAAATATTCATAAAAGAGTGAGTTTATAAACATTCTGTTTGCAGCGGATGATCTGTATGCATTGCGATGTGCTGATCTTATCAGTGATCGGAGTTACTTATGGAGTTTTGAGTGTAATATTTCTCATCTTGGTTTTGAAAAATAAATAAAAAGTCGGCACACGTTAAATCTCTGTTGATTAGATCGTAATCTTTTTGGTTGAAACGAGCAGGCACTTAACGATTCTGTTGTATTTCTCGTTATGATGTATTACTGTTAACAACACGTAGGACCTTCGAAGTATTTTTTTTTTTTTTTTTGGAATCTGGGAAATTCATTGCCAGGGCAAAGATGCTGAAACAGTACAAGGAAAGCCTACACCAAGGCGAGCGAATAACTAAGCAACCAATAAGCTGAGCAGCGAAGTTGGGTAGAAAGTGAAGACGCTACAACCTAATTAAAGTGTCGCCCCCTCCATTGCCTATGCTAAGTTTTTTTTTGGGGGGGGGAAGGTAAACCATCGTTAAGAACATAAATCAATGAAGATGGAGGTCTGTTGACCCATGTTACATTGCACATCTCTGCGTTGCATTTCTAATCGATGCTAACGAGTCCGCCGTCATGTTGGTTGATCTTGGAATCTAAGACCAGCGAGAGTCCTGAAAAGGCTCCCCTAACCTCTTAACTTTCGCCAAGGTAGGAAAGGCCTCCCATCTACCATTTTCCTATGAGTCCGATAAAGATGAAATGGATTCCAGTGAATCAGACTCAATAATTACCCTTCGGTGCCCCAAAGCATCGGCCAACTCACAGAATGGCCATGGCTCCTGCCGTGGCAACATTTGGAGTTTGGATTGCATACCGAGCCGCAGCCACAAACAGATTCTCAGCTCGTCTCATCACGATCCCCACAAAGCCATCTTGCTTACGCTCCCTCCAGCCGGCATCGACATTAACTTTCAGGAGGTGAGTGTTTGGCTTGTTTGAAGGCTTTTAGAATAGTTACCAAAAGCACTTTTGTAAGCGTATATAGCATGCGTTTTTTTTAGGAATACAGGATATGCAACAACTAGAAAAGGACCCGCCGGTGGATCTGCTGGGTCAATTGCTTTAATGGGTTCTTATTCTTAAACAAGGTCAATTGGGCTGGGGAGAAACATCCAAGCGCAGAGATGGAGATGGCTCTGCTGTTTTACGTGCTTTTTTAGGAAGCACTCAGTTTTAATAAAATTTTCCGACTTTTATTTAACGAAAAGAAAAAGCATTTTCAAATGGGCTTTAAGGAAGTCCACCGAGAACCCTAAAGTGCTTTTCTGATCAATGGGGGCCTGGTGTGGCATGATGACCATTAAACCAAACACATTAGCTAAACGGCCATTAGCCTATTACGGAATAGTTCTAGGCCAAGATAGCCCATTACAATGTAATGAGAAGCACTTGCAAACCAAAATTTGGGGGCCTATCAAGAATACTACTGCCAAGATTCAACAAAAAAAATTGAGCAAGGCTGTCAGCTACTCCAATTCGGCTTTCTCAAACTTCCTTGAAGAGTAAGGGAGATGACATTTGTAGCATTCAGTCATACTATTGGTTTGAAATGTCACGGTAGCCTCACAACGAGTGTAAGAAAACCCTAAAATTGAGGTTTATATAATTGAAACCGTTGATCTCGAAAGGTAAAAAGACACCAAAACCCACAATCAATCTATACCATTGATTGCAACGGTTTATAAAAAATTTAAAATGAAGCAACATGTGTTGTGGGACCCACGCTTGCAGCTGTGACAGATTTCATGTGGGTGGGCCACTCTTTCCACTCAAAACGCCTAATGGGCTCCACTCTTTGCACAATAGCTTAGTCCCTATGAAGTCCTCAATTGTTGATGAGGCCCTATACTATAGCTGATGAGGCCCTATACTATAGGGTCTTGTTTTCAGACCCATTGGTAGGCCTTGGACCTTATATACGAAGACTATACGATTGTAGAGACTATATATGGGGTATAGACTAAGGGCATTCATCTATGCACTAACGTTAGACTAAAGAAGAGATCCCACAATGGTATCATGTGCCAAAATCGCCTTCAAACGAATTCAAACGCCGGCAATTCATCATACATCACGGCAAAGTGGTGAGTTTGATGTGTCTCGTCGTTCCGTTATTAGAATAGTATTATGGACCAAAATCAGACTCCGAAATCAAAAGTTGCATTAAACCTGATTTATAGCATTAGACACCTCTTTTACAACCGCGTCATCTTCTCATCTTATCCACTATAATCCACATTTAACTTGGTCAATCGCACACTTGGTTTGACTGCAAAGCAAGTCGAAAGCTTCTCCCACATGCGTGCCTCTTCTCCGTGAGTCTTGGACGGTGCATCCAATTTCCTAAGCTTCTTGCCTGAATTTTCCTATCAAATTATCCAAAATGAGGCTGAAAGTGAATATATATCCAAATGGAAAACCTCTGCGACAATTCATAAGCTTGACTATGTAGGTTTGACTTTATGTATGTTTTGATTTGTCTATGTACTATGTAGTAGGTTAATTTGCTCTTGAATTTTGGCTAGTAGGTTTACTCAAAGTTGAGTGTTCAATTTATGCCAAACAGCCTTGTCCTTGAAGCAATACTCTAGTAAATACTTTTGAGTTTTATACAATTTTGTAGATTTGGGCAAAGGATCTTCACCCCTTTCCTTGACTTTGTGGTTTCCATACTTTGAACTAAACTATATTCTACCAGGAAAAAAGGAACTATAAACATATTTTATTTCGTTTTTCTTCTAGCGGAACGCAGAAAAGTATATGCATGGTGATGCAGCAAGAAATTTATAATTTAAGTGGTTATGAGTGTTTATTAATGCTTGTTAGATCTTGAGTACGAATTTTCATCTCTCAATATTGATGAATTAGAAAGAAAAAAAAAGCATGATAACGTGTGATCTGTTTATGTAGCATCACAATTATCTTAGTATCTAAGTCAACCTTTAGCCTTGATCTTCCTCCAAAATCAAAGGTTTTACAAGGCGCTAGGCGCTAATCGGGTGGCTGGTAAAGGACTAGCATCTAGGCGGGGTTTAGGAGGGTTTTTTTTTTTTTTTTTTTTTTTTTATAATTTTTTTTTTTAATTTTCACTAAATTTATTATACAATGTATAAATAAATGTCTATTTACATGTAGCAAAAATATATAATGGTATATATGAGAATACATAAATTACAAAATAGAACGACATATAAATTATAAAGCAGTTGAATATGTTGAATATGTTGAAAACATAGGAAACAAACATATAATGAGTGTTCATCTAAGTATCCAACAAATCTTACAATTTCTGAAAAAAAATAAAATGCAAAATGAAAGTAATCTATTTTCTATTTAAGTAAGAGTCACGACCTGGATAGTCTAGAGGCATTTTTTTTAAATGACTAAAATTAATCGTGACGGTAATCAACTGCAGCTGCCTTACTATAAGCATCCAGATAATAAGGCGCGATTTGTTTAATGAATGGCAACAATATCTTCGCAAACCAACTTAATTTGTAGCCATGGCAATTGTATCGCAACGATATCTTAGCAAACCGACTTAATTTCTAGCCATGGCAATTGGCATCCCCAAAAACCTAACAGAAATCTGATCTAATGAGTAGTAGGTAGAGCTAACAAGTAGGTAAGAATGTTTTTTTTTTTTTTCATTTTTTGATCGAGTAGGTAAGTTGTGGGGGACACGAACCATCTTGTTTTAAAAGTTCTCATGTTCTTATTCTTTTTCTTGGTTCCTGCTGAAAACAGCAGTTACGTCTCGTTTGATTTGGATAGTGTTCCCTATTATGAAAGAAAAACTTGTGTGGGGCTTAGCTTTTTATTGGATTTTGCTGAGTGGCACTACAATTCACTCAAAACTCGTCACGCAATAAGTTTTAAAATAATATGTTTCATTCTTTTATATTTAAAATTATTATAATTCTTTTTTCTACTAACTGATATACACCATGAAAATGTTCCCTTAGTGTGTTTTTTTGTCCCCGAACTCTTCACTTTCTTCTCTGATCTTCCACTTCTCCCTCTCTCCCAGTTTTTTCTCTTGCTTTTCTTAAAAGGAAATCCTAAATCTTAAAAAAATCACTTTCTCCAACTTTTATCATGGGAAGCAATTAAAAATCTGTAAGTTTATTTATTTAATTATACAGTAGTTGATTTATATACAGGCATATTAGGGTTAATATGTTAGTCTAATTTTGTTTATTTGTTTTCGTTAGTATGTTAGTCTAATATTAGGGTTCATATGTTACCTATGAGTCCCGATTTCCCCTCTCTTGGTTGGATCAAGAGCCCTGCACGTTAAAGAAAGCATGCCGTGCCCATTTTAAAGCAGTAGTAGCTGATAGCGTGATACATAGAAATTATCATTTAGCAACTGAACAAACTTCAAAGTGTGCATATCCCTACACTATAAGCCACCTTACTTCAGCAAGTGAATAAAGATGGGGAAATGAACAAAAAAATGGCAGATGGAAAGAAGTGAAGAGTCCAGCAAAACGCAAACGGATGGAATATTTGAGAAGAAAAAATGGGGAAAAGAATAAAAAGTTAACCATTAGATTGATTGTATATTAATTAATACAAAAAATAAGTATGAGAATCTTAAAAAGAATGATAAAAGATTATATTTAAGACTTGTCATGTGACGAATTTTGAGTGGATTGTAGTGCCAGTCAGCAAAATCTAGTAGCAAACCATGCCGCACACAAGTTTTTCTCTATGATGTGACAGGTGATGATTGAATTCCTTAAAAAGGAAATTAATTTATCAACTGCCACATCATGGATTCACAAAATATATGACAAGTGATGATTGGAGTCACAAAATATGTTTCTAATAAGACTGTCTCTCTATCATTTTCCTTGCAATAATGCCAAAGATTTGGTAAATTTGTAAGTGAATCTTTTTGTTAAACTTCATCGTTATAGAACAACCAAAAAAAAAAAAAAAAAAAAAAACTACCAAACAAACAAAAGGGAAGTCCGTATAAGTAATACTATAAAACATTATGCATAAAACCATACGATTGGACTTGTTTATTGACCTCCTTTGGGCCAATAAACTTGCTTATTGAGTTATAACTAGTAATTAGATAACAAAACTTGCAGTGTCTTTACAAATTAAACATGACTTTGATGGCATTGCCTC